AGAAAGATGAAAAGGAAAAAAAAGAGAAAAGAAAACAAAAAAAAAAAAAAAAAAACAAGAAAAAAGAAATGTCCCTGGGGATCCCACCATGTGACTGCACAGATTGAGGAAGTAGCTCCCAAGCTATGCAGTACAGCCAGGCTAGAAGGGGCTTCCAAGCCGAGAGAAGAAAACAAATAAAGAACACAGAACAAATCAAAACAAACAAACAGAAAAAGCCCCGGGGATACCACCAGCATGGTGGTGCGGGCCAGGAAGCAGTTCCACTGTCGAGCAGCATTTCACAGCCTTTCAAGAAGAAGCAAAGATGGCACACAGAGCCAGGTATTTCAGAGAAAGGAGGGGAAAGTGGTGAGAAGTATGGAAAAAAATCAAAAGAAGCAGAAAAAAAACACCAGCAACAAGCAAATGGCACTCAGGAAGCCGGCTGGTGTGGACGGGTGGAATACAAGCGGCACAGGGCTGAAGCCGGTGCCTCCCAGCCAAGAGACTGTGGCTGCAGGAAGCAGAGGAGGCTGAGAAAGGGTGAAGAAGGGTGGGGGGTGGGAAAGCATATATCACTGGTGTCATGGATTGAATTGTGTTCCCCCAAAATATCTGTCAACTTAGCTAGGCCATGGTACCCAGTATTGTATAATTGTCTACCATTTTATCATCTGATTTGATTTCCCTGTGTGTTGTAAATGCTATCATTATGATGTAATAAGATGGATTAGTGGCAGTTATATTGATGAGGTCTACAATATTAGATAGTGTCTTAAGCCAATCTCTTTTGAGATACAGAGAAGTGAGCAGAGAGACAGGGGGACCTCACACCACCAATAAAGCAGTGCCGGGAGCACAGCATGTCCTTAGGACCTGAGGTTCCTGTGCAGAGAAGCTCCCAGACTAAGGGAAGATTGATGACATGGACCTTTCTCCAGAGCTGACAGAGAAAGCTTTCCTCTGGAGCTGACAGCCTGAATTTGGACTTGTAACCTACTAGACTGTGAGAGAATAAACTTCTGTTTGTTAAAGCCATCCACTTTTGGTATTTCTGTTATAGCAGCACTAGATGACTATGACATCTGGTTACCGGTTGTTCTGTCTCCTGCTGGGAGTTCCGTGAAGCTGCTTTCCCAGTACTCCCTGTTCGCTGATCTCTGACAGGAATCCAAGATGGCGAATCTGTGCTGTGTTAGCTGATAGGAGACCTTTGCACATATCTCTCCTTGCTGTCTGTTCTCTGTCAAGTTTCTTATTCCATTTGGTACTTGGCTGAGTTCTTTATCTCTTCATTTGAGGCTTAGGGTTCCAGGATTGAAGTTTGTCTCTGACTTAGTTTTTTGGGTTTTTGCTGTGGAGGGATGGCATGATGCTTCTGTCTATGGCACCATGTTGCCCGGAAGTCCTCTTTCATGTCTTTTTAATGACCTCTTGCCATCTTCATGTATGATGTCCTTTATGTCATTCCACAACTTGTCTGGTCTTTGGTCATTAGTGTTCAATGCGTCAAATCTATTCTTGAGATGGTATCTAAATTCAGATGGGATATACTCAAAGTCATACTTTGGCTCTTGTGGACTTGTTCTGATTTTCTTCAGCTTCCACTTGAACTTGCATATGTGCAATTGATGGTCTGTTCTGCAGTCGCCTCTGGCCTTGTTCTGACTGATGATATTGAGCTTTTCCATCATCTCCTTCCACAGATGTAGTCAATTTGATTCCTGTGCATTCCATCCAGTGAGGTCCACGTGTATAGTCATCGTTTATGTTATTGAAAAAAGGTATTTGTAATAAAGAAGTTGTTGGTCTTGCAAAATTCTATCCTGCGATCGCTGGCATCTTTTCCATCATCAAGGCCATAATTTCCAACTATTGATCCTTCTTCTTTGTTTCCAACTTTTGCATTCCAATCACCAGTAATTATCAATGCATCCTGATTGCATGTTCGATCAATTTCAGACTGCAGAAGCTGGTAAAAATCTTCAGTTTCTTCATCTTTCGCATTAATGGTTGTTGCATAAATTTGAATAATAGTCGTATTAACTGGTCTTCCTTGTAGAGGTTTGGATCCTATCACTGACAGCATTGTACTTCAGAGTAGATCTTGAAATGTTCTTTTTGATGATGAATGTGATGCCATTCCTCTTGAAGTTATCATTCCCAGCGTAGTAGACCATATGATGGTCTGATTCATAATGACCACTACCAATCCATTTCAGCTCACTACTGACTAGGATATTGATATTTCTGTGTTCCATTTCATTTTTGATGATTTCCAATTTTCCTAGGTTCATAGTTCATACATACATTCCAATTATTAATGTATGTTTGCAGTGGTTTCTTCTCATTTTGAGTCATGCCACATCAGCAAATGAAGGTCCTGAAAGCTTGACTCCATCCACGTCATTAAGGTCGACTCTACTTTGAGGAGGCAGCTCTTCCCCGGTCACCTTTTGAGTGCCTTCCAACCTGAGGGGCTCATCTTTTGGTACTATGTCAAACAATGTTCCACTGCTATTCGTAAGGTATTCACTGGCTAATTCTTTTCAGAAGTAGACTGCCAGGTCCTTCTTCCCAGTCTGTCTTAGTCTGGAGCTCAGCTGAAACCTGTCCACCATGGGTGACCCTGCTGGCAGTTGAATACCGATGGCATAGATTCCAGCATCACAGCAACACGCAAGCTCCCACAGTATGACAAACTACAGATGCGTGGGGGTATTACTGTGTCTGTAGCAGAATTTTCTGGTTTTAACCTGAGAATGAAACCTATTTTAAGAAATCATGCCAGTATTTCCAACTTTTTAATATTTTAAAATCATTTAATTTTTTTTTTCTTGGTAGGGGAAGGGAGATTGTGGGTAAGTTTGGACACCAGTTTTCATGTGGCCATGTTTCTTAGTTGACACTTCCTTTGTTTTGATGGTGAATGGTGGGAGTGGCAGGAAGTGTTCCAATATTTTTTAACTATTTGTTTTTGTATGATTTCAGAATTTACAGTTGTCATTTCAGACTTACAATTCTTCCATCTTTCTTTATGTTCATGACTGTGTCATTTTTAATGAGTGAAGGCCAGTTATTTTATAGAATGTTCCTCAGTTTGGGTTTGTCTGATATTTCCTCATAATTAGATTCTGGTTATACATTTATGGCAGGAGGACCGCAGAGCGATGTTATGTTCTTCTCTGTTCATCATATCAGGAGCTACATAATATGGATTGACTTGTATTATTTGGTTAAGATAGTGTCTAATATGATAAAGATATTATTTTTCCATTTGTGATTAGTAAGTATCGAATGGGGAAATACATTAATACTATGTAATTAAACACATATTCCCCATCAAACTTGCACCCTCCCTATAAGCAACCATTGATAATTTTTGCCTGAGTCAGTTATTGCTGATGGTTTCTAAATGATGATTTTCTGTTTGTATCACTATTTATGCATTTACAAGTTTGTATTCTACTGTAGGAAGATCTTTTCCTTCTTATTTATATCAACATGAATTCATGTATTCTTATTTTATTCTGTGTTCCCATCTGTTACTATTATTATTTATTTTGATGCTTTAATTATCCCATATTTGGCTAATGGGATCTCCTAAATCTGACTCTGTGTCCGGTATCATCCTTTTATTTTTTTATTTTTACTTATAGGTACATATTTTTCTTATCAATGTAATACATTTATTTTTGTAGACAATTTTCAAAACTAATTTAAAAAGTAGAGAGGATATAAAAATATATATAATCACATTGTCTTCTGTAGATTGATGTATTCCCTTTCAGTCTTTTCTTTCATTACATTTTTAAATATAGTAGGGATAGAACTATAGATAGAGCCCTTCATCTCAGTTTTTTTTTTTTTTTTTTGAACCTGTCATTGAATTGCAATAATTTTACTGAACTTTAAGAACTCTTTGGAAACAGTGTGTTTCACACTGTGTGCAGCCACATGTGACCCAGATGTGACAATGCTGCCTTGAGGCCAACCTGCTGCTTCTGCTTTTAAATAGCGTAGCCCACACCCCTCCAAAAGAAAACTCCAATTCTCTGTCTCTTCCTATCTTCCACACTCAGATATTTTTTTCTCCTCTCTTCTTTTTGAGCACACTCCTTGCATATTCTCTTGTAGAGCATTTGAGGATCCAACAAAAAAATTGGAGTGCTGGAAGCACAGAGAGTAGAGAGAACAGTGGCCCAGATATGAGGTAGAGCACTATCCTCCTGCTGGGGATAGAGCAGTAGGGGGAGAGAGGCAATGAATAAATGAAAAATAAATAGATAATAATGTCAGGTGGTAAGAAATGCTATAATGGTGAGAAATTTCTATGAAGAAGAAAGTGGGTAGGATGGAAAGAGTGGTTGGTAGGTAGCTGCTATGTTGGATAAGTGGGCAAGGAAGGCATTTCTGACGAGGCAGTACTTGAGTAAAGACCTGAATGTTTTGCAGATGAGAAACTGAAGCTCAGAGAGGTAAAACATCTTCCCCAAAGTTACAAGGCAGAGTCAGGATTAAATTAATTCCTTTGATTCAAAAGCCCACTATTAATGGTACCTCCCTCCCTAGGGAGTATACCTCAACGTTCTTAGTAAGTGGGATTCCTGACTTATGTTAACAGGGTTTGTCTATCTCTACCTCTATCCCTTGTATCAAAGCATTTTTAAGAAGTAAAACTTTTGCAAGAGATTTTTCTGTGTTTCAATTTCAGTGGTGGTAGGGACAGAAGGTTTGCTTTAAGGAGGTGTTGAGGATTGTTTTGGAACTCAGTCATTCTTGGGCTCTAACATCTAAAATGTACAGTTTTTTTTATGTCTTTAAGGTCTATCCATAAAGGTGACCTCTTCCTTGAAAAAGCTGGAGCGTCTCGAAAGAGTCGGCCTGGGATAAATACAGAGGCCCAGGCTTCAAAATCCTCACTGGGAAAAACCTCATTTATTGAGACAAAGCCTTCTAAGAGTGTCTCAGAAATTCAGACCTGAGAATTGAAAGGTTCAGGGCCGACCTGGTCTGCAATGTCTTTGGTTTTGGAGGACCAGAATATAAAGGCTCGGGCCTGGGAGACCCAGGCTTGGGAGGCCCAGTCCAGGGACAGGCAGCACAAGAAAGCCCCTCTGTCGGAGATGGAGGCTGTCTCAATTCCAAAACACAGTACCTCAGCTCTGCAGGTACAGGTGACAAAGAAGAAACAGAATGAAGACCGTACACGTCTACTCTGGTCCAACAAGGCTGAGTACCTCCTGGCCCAGGTGGGCTACTCTGTGGCGTCACTCAATCTGTTGAGCTTTCCCAACCTGTGGCTTCAAAACGGAGGTATTAATGCTGGGGACCAGTACTCATGGGTCCACAAGGAGATAGCAGGCTAGAGGCCTGTCCATGTTCCAACTCTAAGACCTCTGAGAAATGTCAAGGCTGGAGACTTGGTACTCTGAGCAGAACAGGAGCCAGGTGCCTGAACACTTAGGATCATGAGAGGGTGGAGGTGCAGGGTAGCTGAACACTTACGTTAATGAGGTGGTGGGGCTGGAAGCCTAAATCAGGGGTGGGTGTGAAAAATAGGAATATGTGTCTTCTAGGAGTTGGGGGCCATGGGACTGGACACCTGGGACTGTGAAGGATGTGGAAGCAGTTGAGCTCTGACACTTGTGGTCCTGAGGGAGGTCATTGGTGGGAAACATGTTTTCCTGGACCCCTGAGAAGTCCAGGCTCTGAAAGGCCAGATGGTTCTCAGAATGCTTTCCTGAATCCCCTACACAGGCATTTTTCTCATCATCTACATCCTCGTGCTGTTCTTGATTGGAGTTCCTCTCCTCTTCATGGAGATGGCATCTGGTCAGAGGCTGCATGAGGGCAGCCTCGGTATATGGAAGCACACCAGCTCCTGGATGAATGGTTTGGGTTATACCAGCTTCATGGTAAGCAGCTCTGAGCCACCCAGGCCTGCCCTTTACACCTAACCTCATCACAACCCTTCTTCTGGAATGGGTCCTGTGACTTTTCTTTCATGGGTCTCAGGTCCCTTCAGTTCCCCCATCCTCTGTCAAATACCCTCCTTTTTCCTGCCCACTCTATTCCTCCCCAGCTACCTCCTCCTTGGCCTCCAGGTGTGCTTCATTGAGGGCTTAGTCTTCAGTTTGGTCAATTGCTGGAGCCTCCTCTATTTGAGCCAGTCCTTCCAGTTTCCTGTTCCATGGGAGACATGTCCCTTAGTGAAGAACTCCAGTGGATTTGGTAAGAAGGAAGAGAAAGAGGTGGAGAAGGGGGAAACTGAGAGGTAGAAGGGAATTGGGAGGAGAAGGAGGGGGTGTGGAGGGATAAGGACGAGGGAGACAGTAGAAGGAAGAAGAAATGGGAGGTGGAAAGAAGAGAAAATGTAGTGAAGGGAATAAAGAAAACGGGGGGAGGGATCACCCTGTTTAGCAGGTATGTTCAAAGCCAGGTATCTCTAGATGCTGAGTGTGCACGGACGACACCCTCCATGTACTTCTGGTACCGGAAGACCTTGAATGCGTCAGACACAATTGAGGATGGTGGGCTATTAATCACCAGTGTGAGCCTGTCTCTCTTTCTGATCTGGTTTCTTACTGGTCTTATCATGATCAATGGGTGCAAGTCCACTGGGAAGGTGAGCCTCCACTTTTTTTTTCCTTGGCATTCTCAGATGCTCTGGCCCTCACCTGATTCTGTTAGCCATTGATCTCCTAATTTTTCATTACCTCTGGCCTTTTACTCGCACTAGCCCCAACCCCTGCTGAAAGCTGTCTGCTAACTTCTACCAAATTCTGACTCAGAAATTTTGATTCCTGCTGACTGCTGACCCCTACTAATATATGGTTGCTAATGTGTCCCACTCTCAATTTAGGCATTGTATGTGTTGGTGCCACTTCCCTATCTCATCATCTTGTGTTTCCTCATTCGAAGTCCACTGCTGGAAGGCGCATCATTTGGCCTTCAATATATGTTGGTTTTCAAGGAGGTATCCTTCCCTTCTCCTCCATCAACCCTTGAGAGACACCATAGCTGCCTATTCTTAGGGCCTCCTTTCCTCACTATCCATTATCTCCCTCTGTGTCCCCTGCCCTGTACATTTCTGTTCTAGTTTTCTTCTCCTTCATTTATATCTTCCCTTATACTCGTCTTCTCCCTTTTAGATACCGATTGAGGACTCCATACGTATTTTTTTCCAAGTAGGGATGCACCTTTTGTTTACCCTGGGCCTAGGCCTTGGCATCATAGCCTCCTTCGCGACATACATGCCCTCATCCAACAATTGTCTTGCTGATGCCTTTGTCGTGGCTCTGGTCGACCTGGGCACCTCACTGCTTGCCACACCAGTCATCTTCTCTGTCATGGGCTTCTGGGCCACAGTCATCGCGCATCGCTGCAGCGAGAAGTAAGGCCAGCCCCTTCGTTGTGGATCTCAGCTTCAGGCAACTATAAGACCCAGACACCCTAGCCATAAAGGTGCTGGAAAGGCCCATGTTCACACATCTCAACTTCAGGTGCACTTGCAAGCCTGTACTGCCCCGTATAGCTAAAACTGGGCAAGTAAAATCCCCTGTCATATATTATCCTTCTCAGAGCCCTTTTTTTAACCCTAGAAATCTTGAAATTCATATATTGCTATGTATCCACTTCAGAGAATCACCACAGAGATGTGCCAAAGGTAGAAAACATTCAAGGTTATCGTAGTCCTAGACAATATGCAGAGCCTTCCAAGGCCCTTGACTACCTGAATGACCCATTCTTAACTGTTGACTCCTAAATTTCAATGCTTCTGTCAATCTAGCATAGTTACACCCCAATAGGACCCTCCTTACTAGGTCCTTTATCATACGCTCATTCCTAATTTGTATTCTTTAGGCATTAATTTCAAAAGCATTCATCACACATTTTGAAAATACTCTTTTTGTACCACAGAGACTTGGACAGATGAATGAGACCACAGTCCTTGCCTTCACTGAATTTTCAGCTTTGGAAAGGAGGAGGAGAAAGGAATTAGACACTATATCAGACAGTCATAAGCTTGTGATAACTGTAGCAGAAGTGACGGGGTATGACAGAGGACAGAGTAATTACTTCTGCCTATGCTAGTCATTGAAGACTTCCCAGAGAAGGCAAACCTGAGCTGAATTTGTTCCCAGTAATGATATCCCCACAATAACCACCACTTTCTTCCAAATGAAACCTGGGCATATGCATGTCTTCTGGTGCATATGTGCTATAGATCTCTAGGTATATACTCAGGAATGGAATTACTGGATAGAGTATCTACCCTTCAATTTAATCTTCAGTTTTATCATTTAATGTCGGTTATCAAAGTGATTTGGTCAATTACCTTACTAATTGTGCCAATAATGAGTGAGAACTGCGTTTGTTCCACTTTCTATACAACACTTGATATGGTAAAATTTTAAAATGTTTGTCATTCTAGTGAGTGTGTAATGATATTTTTTAACATTACATATATACAGAGAAATACATTAAACAGAATGTGCAGTGTTGAATAAATGACTTTGAGTATAAGAATCAGCTGATTCATAAGAGGTGGAGGTCAAATATATCCCAGCTTCCCAACTTCTCCATTATTTTTGACACCAGCCACCCCCTACCCCAGGCACTCTCTTTCTTTACTGGGTTTAATTCATAGCAACAGTCACACAGAACTCACAGAAACACCATACCTGTAATAACAACTTTTAATATAAACAGAGGGATATAAACAGAAAAAGGAAGCAAACAGGAAGGACGATGTCTGTGAGGGGTCTTCAGTACAGAGCTTCCATGTCCCCAGGGTACATGCTTACCCTCAAACCAGAAGCTCCAGTGTACCTCTGTCTTCCAAGGCCTTTATTGTCCTCACCATGTGGTGTCCTGAGGCTTAATAGCATTGGGGTGAGGTGAGAAGTTAGGTCAGCCCCTTCACTGAGGATCCCAGCTTGAGATAATAATAAGACCCAGACACCCTAGCCATAAAGGTGCTGGAAAGACCCACATTCACACATCCCAACTTCAGGTGCATTTGCAAGCATCTACTCTCCCTTTGGTAGTAGTTAAGTGTTAAGGCTGCTAACCAAAAGGTCGGCAGTTCAAATCTAGTAGGCACTCTTTGGAAACTCTATGTGGTAATTCTACTCTATCCTATATGGTTGCTATGAGTGAGAATCAACTTGACAGCAACAAGTTTGGGTTTTTTTTGTTACTCCTCCCTTAGCCAAAATAGGGAAAAATAGAATCCCCTGTCATATATTATCGTTTTCAGAGCCCTTTCTAACCCTAGAAATCTGCAAACTTTGAAATGTCTGAGTATCCACCTCATAAAATCACCAGAGATTTGCCAAAGGTAGAAAACATTCAAGGTTACCTTAGTCCTAGACAGACAGCAAGTTAGGATCTAAGACCATATTTCTATGGAGAACCTTTCAAGGCCCTTCACTTCCTAAATGCCCCATTCTTAAGTGTTGACTCCTAAATTTTGATGTTCCTTTCAATCTAGTGTATTTAAACCCCAAAAGGACCCTCAGTACTACAGCCTTTATCATATGTTCATCTCTAATTTGTATTATTTAGGCATTAATTTCAAAAGCATTCATCACACATTTAGAAAATATCCTTTATGTACCACAGAGATTTGGACAGATGAATCAGACCACAGCCCTTGCCTTCATTGACTTTTCTGCTTTGGATGGGAGGAGGGGAGAGGAAAAAGGATGCAAACAGGAAGGATGACATCTGGGAGGTATCTTCATTACAGAGCTTCCATGTCCCCAGGGGATATGCTTACCCTCCCAAGAGCAGAACTTACACACTGTCTCCAACTTGGAAGCTCCAGTGAACCTCTGTCTTCCAAGGCCTTTATTGTCCTCACCACCTGGCCTCATGAGGCTTAGTAGCATTGGGCCCCCTGTTTATCCCTCTTTGTTGAGTTGGACCCCACTTATTGGCCTCAGGTGTTGTCCTGCTCTCAGGAACCAGGACCAAAAGACCAGATTGTTTACTGCAAAGGGGTTCCACACCTCACAAGTGTAAAGTACTATAAAGTAAATAGCACTCAGGTTAAGAACTAGAAAGTACCCTAGAAGGTCTCCATGAATCCCTTTCTAATCATAACTTCTTTTCTCCCTCCTAGAGGTAAACACTACCCTGACTTTTATGATAATTATTTCTTTTTCTTAATATTTTTATCATCAGTGAATGCATATCTAAGCAATATATTTTAATTTGTCCATTCATATGAAGCAATATAGTTTAGTAGGAAGAAAGGCCTAGCGATCTACGTTTGAAAAATCAGCCATTGTAAACTCTATGGAGCCCAGTTCTACTCTGACACACATGATAACCATGAGTTGGAATCAGCTCGACGGCAACTAGTTTTGGTTTTATAGTTTAGTATGTCCTTTTTTATAGTTTAATTTGGTCATGTATATATAAATTCTCTTCGTATTCTTTTGTTTCACTTCTTTCATTCGGCATATATTTGTAAGATTCATCCACATTATTGTGTGTAGCTTTAGTTTGTGACTTTTTTAATGCTGTTTAATGTTCCAGTATATGAATGGATCACAATTGATTTCTCCATTAGTTATTGATGGACATTTGGAGTCTTTCCAGTTTTGGGTTTTTACAAGCAATGCTACTCTAAACATTTTTATAAATGTTCCTGATAAAGACCTTCTTACCCATCCACTCTGGTCCAACAAGGTTGAGTACATCCTAGCTACTCTGTGAGGACAGTCAGTCTCCGGCACTTTTCCAATCTGTTGTTCCCAATGTATGCACACAATTTTCTAGAGTATATACCTGTGAGCTGCCTCTTCAAAGTAGAGTGGACCTTAATGACGTGGATGGAGTAAAGCTTTTGGGACCTTCATTTGCTGATGTGGCGCGACCCAAAATGAGAAGAAACAGCTGCAAACATCCATTAATAATTGTGTATGCTGAGCAAATAATCCAAGAAGCTGGACTATATGAAGAAGAACTTGGCATCAGGATTGGAGAAAGACTCATTAACAACCTACGATATGCAGATGATATACCTTGCTTGCTGAGCGTGAGGAGGACTTGTAGCACTTACTGATAAAGATCAAAGACTATAGTTTCAGTATGGATTACACCTCAACATAAAGTAAACAAAAATCTTCACAACTGGACCAATAAGCAGCATCATGATAAATGGAGAAAATACTGAAATTGTCAAAGATTTCATTTTACTTGTGTCCACGATCAACGCCCATGGAAGCAGCAGTCAAGAAATCAAATGACATAGTGCATTGGGCAAATCTACTGCAAAAAACCTCTTTAAATTATTAAAACTCAAAGATGTCACCTTGAGGACTGTCTTAGTTATCTAGTGCTGCTGTAACAAATACCACAAGTGGATGGCTTTAACAAACAAAAATTTATTCTCTCACAGTTTAGGAGGCTAGGAGTTCTAATTCAGGGCGCCAGCTCCAGGGGAAGGCTTTCTGTCTCTGTTGGCTGTGGGGAAAGGTCCTTGTCATCAGTCTTCCCCTGGTCTAGGAGCTTCTCAACACAGGAACCCCAGGTCCAAAGATCACCCTCCGCTCCTGGCTTTTTTTGCTTGGTAGTAATGAGGTCCCTCTCTCTCTGCTCACTTCTCTCTTACATCTCAAAAGAGATTAACTCAAGATACAGCCTAATCCTGTAGATTGTGCCCTGCCTCATTAACATAAGTGCCTCTAATCCTGCTGCATTAACATCATAGCAGTTAGGATTTATAACACATAGGATAATTACCTCAGATCACAAAATAGGGGACAACCATACAATACTGGGAATCTTGGCCTATCCAAATTGACACACATTTTTTGAGGACACAATTCAATCCATAACAAGGACTAAGGTGCGCTGACCCAAGCCATTGCATTTTCAATCGCCTCATATGCATGTGAAAGCTGGACAATGAATAAGGAAGATCAAAGAATTAATGCCTTTGAATTATGGTGTTGGTGAACAATACTGAATATGGACTGCCAGAAGAACTAACCAATCTGTCTTAGAAGTCCAGCCAAAATGCTTCTTAGAGGCGAGAATGGCAAGACTTCATCTCACGTACTTTGAACATGTTATCAGGAGGGACTAGTCCCTGAAACGATGGGCTCAAGCATAGCAAAGATTGTGAAGATACTGTAGGACTGGGCAGTGTTTCGTTCTGTTGTACATGGGGTCGCTATGAGTCGGAACCAACTCCAGGGCACCTAACAACACCATTTCTTGCAAACACTTGGATTGTCAGATTTTTACTAATTTGGAGGAAGTGTAATAGTATGTCATTGTGGTTTTAATTGGCATGTCTCCAGTTTTTAATAAGATTAAGTATGTTTTTATATACTTATTGGCCATTGGGTTTCCTCTTTAGTGAATTGCATGGTTGGGTCTTTTGCCCATTTTTCTACTGGACTTTCTTTTTCTTTGGAGTTTGTCATGGATTGAATTGTGTCCCCCAAAAAATGTGTGTAACAACTTGGCTAGGTCATGATTCCCAGTATTGTATGATTGTGTTATCTGATGTGATTTCCTTATGTGTTGTAAACTC